TGCAGTATCTCATTTTGTGATTTTTTTAAAGCCCTCCTCAAGAATTAGAACTACAAAGAGAATCTGATGCGACCTCTCCAGATTGTCCCGAGCCGACTGTTTTCCCAGCTATACTGTGGCCTGAAGCCTCCAGCCCCCACACAAACCAAGATTTGCTTGATGATGACTCGTCCAAGTTCAAGTAAGTCTTTCTCAGTCAGCCGGCTCCTCATCTTCAGCGGCGTGTGAAATTCCTGAACCTTTCTACACTTAAAGGGGAATGTCTACATCAAAATATGTGTTGGCCAAGATTTTGGAGAAAGCCGCTCTGTCCCCTTCTCTTTTAAGCAGGCCCATTCTGGGACAGAGTCAGAGCTTATCTCTTAATACTCGAGTTAGGTCCATTTAGGACATTTTGTTGCTTCTGCCAGAATATTTGCATTTAAGCTTTTCACACATGATTTGTACTTTGAACTCCTCATCTCTCTGCAGGGGAGGAAAGATGGTGATTGCCTGTCGGGCAGTATGGGGTTAAATTTTCCTCTCGACAGAATCTTTGTAGCTCTACATGACAAAAACCTACAAGTGAACATATCTGGGCCCTTGGTCTGAGTCTAACAAATTTTTATGATTAAATGACCTGTAGATGGGCCTGTGAAACAGCTTCAGTAGGACATTGAGAGGCCAAGCTGAATTCTTTTGTGAGTCTGCTTACACGTAATAACCCTAAGGAATGGGTAAGAACTAAAAGAACCGAGTTCCACGCAACTGCACAACCCCTTGGCGTGCACAGCTGTGCAGAGCAGGCTGCTAGAGTCTGTGGCGGGATCCAGAAGCGTGTGCCTGACCTTGTTTAAAAGTGGGCCATCGACGCTGGGAACCACAAAATGTGCTGGTGTGTTTTCCTTTAGCAATTGGGAAATGTCTCTTTTTAAAGATTTCACACCACATTAACATTACTATATATTGCATCGTGTCTTCCAAGAACCAAATTTAGGTTGACTTTTTTATTTGTTTCCAGAAGTGGCTTAAAGTAGTACCTTAATAGAAGTCACTCTGACCTAGGAATATATTGGTCAGTAGGATGACAGTTTCCATTTGAGGTAGAAAAGACCTTTAGGTCTAGGGAGAGTTTTAGGGGTGAACCCCGAAGTCCTTAAGGATGTTTGTAAGGGTAGAACCCAGGACTCATATAAATGGTTCCTAGAAAAGTACTTACACATTTTCTTATTAAGCATCTTGTTCTTTCAAGAGATTAGATCAGATTAGAAACTCTAATCTACCCCGATGGGGTTTCTGTTTCCCGATTCTTCCTGGTTGGGCAGCTTGTGTCTCTAGGTGGGCTTAGTTTCCACAGCAGTTTGTCTCTGGAAGGGCCGTGCGTTCAGCCCCAGCTTTGGCATGACCGGCAGGGTAGCTGGGTCGGTTACACTTGCAGAGGACGGCGTGTCGTGGCTCCCTTCATTTCATCCCGTCTCAGGCTGCCAGGAACGTGGTCCCAGAGAGCTCCAGGAATGCAGCCAGAGAGGGAGCTTGTACTCTCTGCTTTTCTTTGTTTGTGAGAGTCTACATTTCTTCTTTGTTCATTTTCACAGTAGTCTATTGTAGGGCAGAGAGGAAGGGAAGGGGAGGAGGGATTGAGCCTTTAGGGAGTCTCTGTCCTGAGCCAGGCATGGCGTGTGGCTCTGGGCTTAGGAGGATGAGGAAGTCCCATCCCTGCCGAGAGGGAGTCATGTTTGGAACCCAGTAGAGCGTGCCTAACTGCTGGGGATACAAAACGAGGCCCTGTTCCCTTTAGTGTTCGAGTTAACTGCCTCTGAGTCCCCACCTTACTCTCTCTCTTCTTTGCCCCCTTCCTGCCTGTCACTAGTTCCATCTCTCCAGGGACACTCATTCGGTCCAGAGGTTAGCCTTGGTTGCCATTCCCTCGAGAGGGGAAGACCAGGAGCTGCTCAGTCAGCTGAGGAATTCAATTCCACGTTTGGTTCCGCTCCTGGAAGATCCCTGTGTCTGGGACATACGCTGCTTCCATGGCCTGGGCCTGCCACGGTCCAGTACTCGCTTCTCGGGGGAGGACAGAAGAGGGAGTCTCTCTTCTCCTGGCAGCTTGTGCTCATCGCTGTACCCCTTGGGCACCTGCTGGGCCACAGCACTTACCGGGCACAAGGGCCTGCAGAGCCGCAGTGCCTGGGAGAGACGGGGTTGGTCTCAGCCACATGCTGCGTCTCTGGTAGCGTCTTGTTGAAAAGTTTGACTCTTATTTGAGCTGCCAAGGAGAAGGTCACATGCCCATGTTTGTTCACAAGAGAGGAGCCCTTGTCCTCACCTTGGGTCTCCATGCCGAGGGAAGTTGCATTAGCAAGATCCCCAAAGGGAAGGTAAATTTGGGGAGGAAGGGTAGACTTTGGGGTCCAGGGGCCTCAGCTCAGCACCCACACACACAAGCTTGTTTTTATGTTTATGAGGATTCCTACCCATTAGCCTTTTTTAACCTTCATAACAATGCTGCTCCAAGGAAGGCACTGTTGTGCGCATCAAACAGCCAAGCAAACCGAGGATAGAAAAGGGTGAGTAATTCGCATAAGCCCACACGGTTGGACGGGAGCTGCGATCCGGAGCCTGCAGCGTGTGCGTGTGTCAAAGGCCCTGCTTCTGTCAGGTACTGCGTACTCACCCATCGGGCTGCGTGAGACGGTGTCTTCATGGCACAGGAATGATTTTTGTTTGAGTAATTTAAAGTATAACTTCACACAAGGTCAAGTTCAAGATACAATTGATATGGGATACAAATGTCCAAATCGGCACACTTGTCTGATAAAGATTTTGTTCTCTGTTTAGGTATGGCGGATTTCCGCAAGATTTTTGCAAAAGCAAAGCACATAGTCGTCATTTCAGGGGCCGGTGTTAGTGCCGAAAGCGGGGTTCCAACGTTCAGAGGAGCCGGAGGTTACTGGAGAAAATGGCAGGCTCAGGTTGGTAACGTTTCTAGAACATGAAAAGGCTCTTCTGAATGAAGCCATGACAGAGTTTGACGCGGGACCGATGCCGGTGCCTGCAGCCCAGAGGGAAAAGTGTTGAAGTCACCTGTGACCCTATTGTCCCCTTGATTTTGGCATCGACGCAACGTTCCTGTGCTCACGACCTAAAATTTAAGCGAAGAAGCCACTTTCCTTACTTTCTAGATATGTGTACGTTGCATTTATTCAGATAACAGCTTCTTCTAGTAATTGTGTTAAAGTGGAATCAGAAAACCTTGTTTCTCATAATTCATTGCTAGAACTTCTGTGAACTTTTCATGTTAAAACTAAGGTTTAGGGCTTGATGTTAAAAAATTTATGTGACGGCCATTGGAGGGTAAGTTCTGTGAGGGTGTGGATCTTTTTTGTTAATCCAGTTTTTAACACACACACACACACACACATACACAGACACACAAAATAAAGATCATCAAGTTTAAATGTAAAATTCAATGAATTTTAACAAATGGGTGTAGTTGTGTGGCCCCCACCATGATGCTGTATAGAACATGACCCCTCCCATCCCCTGACTCAGGGCATCCTTAGTTTTGGAGGACAGGGAGTTTTACCTGTTGTATTCATTTCCCTGTCTCCAGCTCCCAGAACTCTGGTACGTTGTAGGTGCTTAATAGATTTTTGTTGGTTGAATGAAGACAGTCATGACTTCAAAACATGACTTCCCTATTCAGTGGGTAGTTTCTAGCTGAGTGTAGAGTTCATGAACCTGTCCCTTCCTTCCTCTCTTAAGTGTCTGTGACTGGCAGATGTGTAGGATGTTTTGTCACCTGCCTGCTGCCCTCCTGGTGAGGCCTGGGGGCTGTGATGTGGGGTCATCTGCTTAAAGGTGAAGGGGGAGGAAAAAGAGTAGAGGCCATTAGGGTCCATTGAGGAAGAGGGGCAGCCGGGGGCAGTCCCTGGACCAGAAGCAGCAGGGGTGGGACCTCAGGGGATGCAGGTGGCACGTGGAGGAGGGTGCTCTTCGTGTCAGGAAGGCTCAGAGCTGATGGGCGTGAATAGAACACATTTGTCTCCAACCCCGTTCCAAGGACACCTGGAACTGCTCCAGACCACTGTGTCCTGGGTGGAGAGCAGGAAGGAGGGGAGCATGGGGTCGGGTGGGTCACCCTCAGTGTGGCTGTCCCCTCGCAGAGCGGAGGCTGACGTTGCTACCAAGCAGAAGGGACGTTTATGGAAGAATAAAATGCACACGTGTTCAATGTGGGAACATGTCCTTGATAGAGAAACCACACTTCTTTTTAAAATTAACATTATTGAGGTGGAATTTACATAGAATAAAATGCGCCCACGTACATTGTGTGTCCAGTCTCATGAGTCTTGACAGGGGTATGTACCCACCTGTGTAACAAGACCAGCTCCACAGTCAAGTATAGAACATTTCCGTCATGGCTAAAAGGTCCCTGTGCCCTTCCCAGTCCAGACAGCCACTGCCCTGCTCTTTCACCATAGAGAGATCTGTCTTTCCGAGCGGGTGAGCTGCACTTAAAAAATATGTATGTTCTGTTAACCTGCATACGCTTTCTTATATGTGTAGTTGTGTGTATGTGCCATGTGTGTATATGTATATGTGTGTAGTTTGTGTGTATGTGTGTAATTGCGAGTGTAGTTGTGTGTGTGTAGATGTAGTTATGAAAACAGAGTTTCTCAACTATGGCCATTTTACCTCAATTGGCCATTTGCATTTCATGTTTTTCCTGGGTATATCTCAAAATTCGATTCGCTCGGTATATTTTGGGGCTCTGTGAATAAGTAGATTCAACCCCAAACACCTTCCCGCATATTGCTTTACTTCTTGTTCATAACTTCCCTGAGGGGTAGGTGGGGCAGGTGGCACTGTCCCTGCCTCATCACTGGAGAGATTCAGGCCGATTTCCCCAGGGTCCCAGGTCACCTGCAGGATGGGGCCGTTGCTGTTTGAACCTGAAGCTGCCCTGCTGCCCCCTGCACCCTCCCGAGGCCGCCGGCCCCAACAGAGAGGAAGGGCCTGTGCTGCCGCCCAGGGTTCAGCGCCCGCTGCCCGGGCTCCTCCCTGACTCCTGCCTCCTCTCGAACCCCAGGACCTGGCCACCCCACAGGCCTTTGCCCACAACCCGTCCCGGGTGTGGGAGTTCTACCACTACCGGCGCGAGGTCATGCAGAGCAAGGAGCCCAACGCCGGGCACCTCGCCATCGCCGAGTGCGAGGCCCGGCTGAGCAGACAGGGCCGACGGGTCATGGTCATCACCCAGAACATCGACGAGCTGCACCGCAAGGCTGGCACAAAGAACCTTCTGGAAATCCACGGTAAGGCCCCTCAGCCTCACATATGGAGGGGAACCAGACTTTAAAACACATGTCCTGCCATTTCAGCACAAGCCCTGATCCCTTCTCTCCTTCCCTCCCTGTTGAACACCTGTCCAGTCCCCCAGGGTGCTGGGGCATTTCCCTTAGGGACCGTTTGGTGCCCTGGGCCACCTAAACATCTACCTTTGGTGATGGCTCCTCCCAAGACCATTTGCATTTAAGGAGTCTACAAAGCTTCAGACCCAGGCAGTGCATTGCTAAGTGTGGAATTTCCAGAGGCGATGTTGGTGGTGGGGGTGGGGACCCGTCCTTTCCGCCTTTGTGCAGTGAGGCTGCTGGCTTTTGCTTAGGCTCAAGGTCACCCGGATAAGAAAAGTTGGGCGCTGTTCACTTGGATCTTGTCTCTCCTTTGTGTCTCAGGAGCAGTCAGCCACCTATTAACTGAGTGTCTTTTTGGTACCTACATCTGCGGAGTCTGGGCCTTTCTCATTTCTCTGCAATGTCAGAAATATGGGCTGTGTCCTGGCCACGCATGCCTATTTTACAGAGTTATTGTAAGGATTAAATAAGATCATATATTTGTGTTTGTTGGGGGTGTTTTTAGTTGCAAATGATGAGAACTCTCTTCTAACTTAGGAGAATATAAACTAAACCCTTCATTTCATCAGACTGAAGGTCTCATAGATACATCATCATGTTTTTAATGTGCCACTTAAATGTAATCTGCCTAAACCACGTATACTATTTTGTTATCCCTTAGAATTGTCATTTTATACTTATAGAAAGGGCTTGTTAAAACTTATTTAGACACAGATTTTTTTTTAGAAATTATATCATTCCTGTGCATACATAAAACAAAATGAGTACAATAAACTGATTCAGATTTTGCTCATTGTATAGCTCTTCTGAGTGACTTCCAAGGGACTTAGCGCACAGATGGCTGTTTTCTGTGCAGCTTCATGCTCTGCGCCTTGGGGGCTGGATGATGCAGCATTTCCTAAAAGAATAGCCCCTCTGTTATCTCTGGGATTCTCATCCAAGACTTGCTTAAGGTGTATATTTGCACAGTTTGCAAGTTTGATATTGGGCCTTTCTTGAGCTTACAAAAAAGTATCAGTGGAAGGGTTGTAGAAAACAACCAGAACTCATTTTCTTTCCTGAAATGACCTTAAATGGTTTGTCAGCTGAAATACCGAGGGGTCGCATTTGTCCAGTCAGGTCACTGAGAGTAACAACCAAGTCATCCTACATTTCAGTAATCAGCGTTCTCCTTCAACAATTCTGTGCGAGCACAATGACTACGTTACATCTGTCATCTGGCCGGTAACAATTGTTGGACACATCTGAATTTCAGAGATGTTAACGTGAGAAAAAATATTCACAGTAAAACCAGTAGAATAGGTATATTGATTGACTCACGAAACCGAGAGACCCTGGGGTAGAGCTGACGTCATCTTTCCCTTACAGCCTCTCTCCCTCTCCTCCTCTCAGCCTCCCTGTCCCTCTGTAGTTGATATGCCCCGTGTGCCAGGGGAGGTGGCTTCTGGTGGCTCCAGCCTCACTAGTTTAGCTGTCTCTTCGGAAAATAAACCCTGGTTGGCTTTGCTTGGCTCTAATAGCCACCCTTCCACCAAACACAACGGCCAGAGGGACGGGTACCATGATGGGACCAGTGTGGGGCTTGATTTGGGATGTGAGTGACAGCCCCATCGGCTCAGCATAGGATAGATGGGAGATGGCTCCCCAAAGAGGGAACAGTGGGCAGAATGAAACAGCGTATGTCCACCGTGGCGTGTGAAGCACTCAGCATGGCACTGGGCACCTGGAAACTATTTAATAAATTGTGGCACCATTATTGCTTCAGCTCAGTAAATGGTTGTCAGTGTCAACAATTATTTTTTTCATTTGTTAGTTGATTATTGAGCTGATTTTGTATAAAAGATTCAAGCTTTATGGAACCAAAGTTAAAATTTTGTGAACATATCCTATGCCACCGAACCTTTATCAGTCATATGCTAGTGAATCATGCCCTGAGCTTTAGGTCCAGCTCCTTCTACCCTACTGGCCACTTTGCCCATGTGAACATCACTCTGAGGTCATGTGGGAGCACGTTAGTCATGGAGTTAGTTACTTCCCCGCCAGGTATGAAGTCCTTGAGGGCTCAGGCTCGTGGCTGGCTCAGTAGTTCTGCACACCTTCGCATCCCCACGATACCCTGGGCAGGCCCTTTGCTAAAATGAAGTACGGAAACTAACTTATTTTGTACCCTTTTAAACATGGAGGCAGTTGCTCTTTATTATACTAAATTCTGGACTTGCTTAACATGTGTTTTTCAGGTAGCTTATTTAAAACTCGATGTACCTCTTGTGGAATTGTGGCTGAGAATTACAAGAGTCCAATTTGTCCAGCGTTATCAGGAAAAGGGTAATTACACCACACTTCAGAATAAGCATGTGTTGTTTTCTTCTTTAGGTCGAACATAAATGTGAGGAAATTGAACATTAATCAAAGATTCCCATGGATATTTATGAGAAATATGACTAGACACAGCACAGCCATATGATAAAAGAAATATTTTGCTTACAATTTACCATGTTAAATGAAAACCACAGGGTACCAAACTATGTACAGTATGATCCCAACTTTGTATGTAAACAACACATATACACATACATACACACGCTTTCCACGTTTGTGTATCTGTATATAGTTAAAAGACCAGAGGAAAATACAGCAAAATGTTAACAGGGATTACCAGGGGTGGGGGGATTATGGGTAGTTTTTGTCTTTCTTATATCTTTCTGAATTTTTTTTTTTTTTTTTTTTTAAGACAGAGTCTCACTGTGTTGGCCGGGCTAGAGTGAGTGCCGTGGCATCAGCCTAGCTCACAGCAACCTCAAACTCCTGGGCTCAAGCGATCTTCCTGCCCCAGCCTCCCGAGTAGCTGGGACTACAGGCATGCGCCACCATGCCCGGCTAATTTTTTCTATATATTTTTAGCTGTCCAATTAATTTCTTTCTATTTTTGGTAGAGACGGGGTCTCGCTCTTACTCAGGCTGGTCTCGAACTCCTGACCTCAAACAATCCACCCGCCTCGGCCTCCCAGAGTGCTAGGATTACAGGCGTAAGCCACCACGCCCGGCCTTATCTTTCTGAATTTTTCAATATTTCTGTGATGCGTATGTACTGTTATCACAGGAAAAAATTTGAGAGTAGATTTAGAATATTGAGAAAAATTCTGTTGGGCTATTTTAAAACAGTATAAATTATATAAATAATATATCAATATAATGCCATTGCAGAAGATTCAAATGTTGATGACATATAAAGGCAAATCATGAGGCTCCCCCTCAGTACACGTGGCCGCTCCAGCCCTCCCCACACAGATCCCCCTCTGGTAGAACAGCCCCTGGGACGTCGTGCCTGGGGTCCATCTGCGTGGTACCTTCCAAGTTAGCATTTGTTAATTAGGAGTTTTGTGCTACTGCCAGGCAAATACGCAAACTTACTGGGCTATGTTATTTCTTTGTTTTTTGATTATACCAATGACACTCTTTCTTTCCTAATATTATGTACTTCAGTGCTCCAGAACCTGAAACTCAAGATGCCGGAATCCCAGTTGAGAAACTCCCCCGGTAGGTTTAAAAAAAAACCTTCGATTTGTATTTGGTGTTCCAGATTGCAAGAAAAAGGAAAATTAGGAATCAAAACCTAGACGTTTATTTGGTGAGATGCCTCTTAATCAAATGCACACATGTAAAAACCAGCCTTGACCTCTGAGACCAAAGGCAAAAGGACAAAGGATGAACCAAACCAGAGTGAAAAGAATGGTCTCTTTCCAATCCCTTTTTGTTTTGTGTTGTGGGGGGATAATTTGATAGTTTTCTGCAGCTCTTATGGGACAGATGGTGATCCAGCGTACAGCAAGCACGGGGCTGCATCCTGGAACTGGTCAGTTAATGTCACCAGTGTTATTAACCGAGGGTTAGGGAGGCAATAAAAGATCTTGCAAAGGGAAGAAGTTATAGGATCAAACAGAATTTTTTTAAATTGACAAATAATGATTGTACATATTCATGGGGTACATAGTAATGTTTTGATACATATAATGTATACTGATCAGACCAGAGTAATTAGCATATCCATCATCTCGAACATTTATCATTTCTTTGTCCAAACAACATTTTTGTAGATTAAAAACAAAATCCCTAGGAAGATTTTTATTTGTTTTTCAAGAGCAGACATTAAAACAGCACTTTCAGAAGTTTTTCATAGAGCACTAATTCCATGTGATGTTGATGGGTATTACTTGGAAAAAAAAATGTTACGTGCTGAAATAAATACAGAAATGTTAAACCAAAGTTAAAATACATTTACTCTACTGTAGGACTTCTCAGAACATTTAATCCACTAACGCCTGTTGTTGCTGTCTAAAAAGTGGTTATGATATGTTAATATTTCGCTGGCTTATTTAACCACAGACCCTTTATTTTTTATATAAGGATTTTCGTTGCTAGATTCTAAAGTTTTGATCTGAAAGAACAGGGAGTCCTGGGGACTCCTGTGATGTAGGAGGTTAATGTGGAAATGGTGTTTGGAGAGATGACTTTAGAAGCTACAGAGAGGATGACCTAGAGGCAGCAGGGAGGGAAAAGTGAGAGATTTTTGATAATAGACACTGGAGAACTTGGCTGTAGATGGGGCCAGAGAGAGGTGAATCGGAGAGGAAATCAAAGGAGGTTGTTGAAATCAGGGGATGGTTGGGGTTTTGGAGCAAATGTGAGTCTGACATTACTCCAAGGTCTGAGTAACTGTGAGCACAGTGGTGCCAACGAGTGGAATGAAGTAGCTGGGAGAGAGAAAGCCATTTAGAAAAGAGAACATCAGGCTTCACTGAAACAGCGTGTCAACACGTCACCTTAGTGCTGTGGTCCAACCCTGGGCCACAGACTGGTGCTGGTCCTCAGCTTGTTAGGGACTGGGCTGCAGAGTTCCGCTGCCTCCCTCCCCCCATCCATGGAAAATTGTCTTCCATGAAACTTAGGAACAGGGGTGGGGATGGGAGTGAGCGGTGGGTGAGTGAGGATGAAGCTTCATCCGTATTTACCGCTGCTCCTCATTGCTCACGTCACTGCCTGAGCTCTGCCCCCAACCCCCACCCCTGTCTGTGGAAAAATTGTCTTCCATGAAAGCGGTCCCTGATGCCAAAAAGGTTGGGGACCGCTGCCTTAGTGCATACAGACATGATAGAAACTTCATAAGGACAGTTAGACTTCGTACTTCATTTCCAGGGCAAACTCATTTAGGCTGGGAGGGGATAGGGGATAAGAAGCATCCAAGGTGACCCATCTGGGTGGGCTGGGTTTGGGGCAGCCCCTAGCCTCCCTCTGACCCATAGGGCGGACCTGGCAGGGCCAGTTCAGGGGTGGCTTAAGGATCACGTTCTTCCAGGTGTGAAGAGGCTGGGTGCGGGGGCTTGCTGCGGCCTCATGTCGTGTGGTTTGGAGAAAACCTGGATCCTGCCATTCTGGAGGAAGTTGACAGAGAGCTCACCCTCTGTGACTTATGTCTAGTGGTAGGTCACACCCTTCCCTAACCCTCGGGATTATCTGAAACATGGGAGACTGGGCTGGAGTTTCTTCTTGTTTCCTTCCTCTCTCCTCCCTCCCTCCCTTCCTTCTTCCTTCCCTTCTTCTCTCCTTCTCTCCTCCCTGCTTCCTTCCTTTTCTTAAAATGCATGTTGTGGTGTCCTATAGAAAAACTAAGATACAATGAATAATAATCGATCTTAAAATATGAAACTAGCAAGGCCATGTTGGGCATCTCAAAGCCTTCTACCCTACCATCCCTCAAAAGAACATGTTATTGGTTCATATTTTTAAAATAATTCATGTTCATTGTTAAATTTTATTGAGAAAATTCAAAAATGTAAAATTGTAAAGAGGAAATTAGAAATTACCCATAATCCACCGTCTAGAAATAGTCACTGTTAGCAAGCAGTTTGGTATGTTCTCTTCTAGACCAGGGGTGAACAATCTGTGGCCTGTGGTCCAAATAAGGCCTGCTACCTGTTTTTGTAAATGAAGTTTTATTGGAACACAGCCACGCTTATTCTCCTGCGCACTGTCTGTGGCTGCTTTCACGCTACAACGGCAGAGTTGAGTACTTGTGACTTAGATCATATGACTTGCAAAGCCTAAACAATTTATTGTATGGCCCTTTTCAGAAAAAGTTTACCCACTTCTGGCCTAGAAGTGGGTAAACTTCTTTTGTTACTGCAGATATACACATATTGATTAAAATTCAAAAATGAGTTCATGATGTATGTTCTGTTTTGAAACTATTTTATTCACATAGCAATTCACTTAGATACATCCCAATCTACATCATCTTTTAATCGACTGCACAGTATTCTATTATATGGACAAAAAATAATATATTTAGCTAATTCTCTATTGCCAGACATTTGGGCTCTTTCAAATTTTGATATTTTAAACAATGCTGTAGGGAATATTCTTAGATATAAATCTTAGCATGCTCTTCAAATTATTTCTTTAGAACATATTTCCTAGGAGTGGAATTAATTGGACAAATCGTACGCATACTTCAAAATTTCCTTAACACATCTTTAAAAGCAGAAACACTTTCTTGTGTTGTGTTCATGTGTTCATTCAGCCAGTGTTCGCTGAGTGCATAATGTCAATGTTCATGATGGGCTGTTAAATGAGAAAGCTGGTTTACAAAACATGTTCATATCTCCCCATTCCTGTAAAGAATGTTGATAAGCATATATGTATAAGAAAAACCTAAAAGGATATACATCAAAACATTAACAGTAGTTATCTTGGGGTAGTAGGATTATGGATGATATGTATGTCTTCTAAGTTAGAAAATACAAAAAACATTATGGATCATTTGCATGAATTCAAAGAGCAGGGGAAAAAAAACCAGAATTACCCCCCAATGTTAATTGAGTCATTCCTTTGCTATTCTTCTCATTCACACAACTCTGCTTTTCATGTCACATGTTCTTCCCAAATTCTGGTGATTGGCCACAATGATGCCTCTTAACTTTCCACTTAGCCCTTGGACACTCTCCATTTTATCCCATCTAGCTTAGCTTTCCTCACACCTGCAGCCACAGACCTGCCAGAGTTTATGTAAAGTTTTCTAAAAAATCGTTCCTTGTCCCTGTATGTGACCATTCGGGCACTGCTGTGTGCTTGCTTTGCAGGTGGGCACTTCTTCTGTGGTGTACCCGGCCGCCATGTTTGCCCCCCAGGTGTCTGCCAGGGGAGTGCCCGTGGCTGAGTTTAACATGGAGACCACCCCAGCCACGAACAGATTCAGGTACCGGGATAACCCGGTAGGAGATGCGACGGGGAGGGCAGGTTTGGATGTGGTCATCTAAACGGAGTTTACCTGCTGTTCTAATCTTAAAAAACCCAAAACACAACGTTCGTGTTCTCATTTGGTCTGTAGTTACTTTTACGGAAGAACAAAAAATCATTAACTATAGACTAAGATAACTATTAATATATCTTTTTATGTGGCATTTGCCATAGGGCTTTTGTTTCTTCACATTTTGAGAACTCTTCTTTAATTCTTTAGGCTTTGCTTTTTATTTGCATTTTTGGACTAGATTTAGTCATGGCCTTTAGATGTAGTTTGCATGAATGCTCAGCAAGTGAGCCTGGGAAAGGCCCACAGGGACCTTCATCACCTGCTGTTCTCATGGTGAGGCCACCTGGGAAAGTTTCTCTTTTGTCTGCTTGCCAAGAATATTGTTATTTGCGGCCATATGATGACGCGGATCCTGTTTCTCAAGTTTGTGTGGAAAGTGTAGATATCATAGTGTGCATTTTTAGTCTCAGTCCAGGTTCCATTCATGTCTGCACCTTTGTTTTGCTTTTTTCCCTCACGCCACTTTTTTTGCCTTTACTTTTAATTCTTATCAGTCTGCTTAATTCCTTTCTAGAATAAGATAGAATACAAATAAGTAATGAATCAATATAAATAAATTAAAAATAAAACTTCACTGAAATGTCTTGTTATTACTTTAATCAATGGTTTTTTACTTTGGATGCATATTTTATTTTATTTATTTTTTGAGACACAGTGTCTCCCTCTGTCGCCCAGGCTAGAGTGCAGTGGTACGATCATAGCTCACTGTAGCCTCGAACTTCTGGCCTCAAGTGATCCTCCTGCCTCAGTCTCCCAAAGTGCTGGAATTACAGGTGTGAGCCACCATGTCTAGCCTTGATTGAATATTTTAAAAATACTGATGCATGGATGCCACCTCACAAGATTCCGATATAATTGCTCTGAGGTGTAGCCTGAGCATCATGATTTTTATAAGTTTCCTAGGTGATTCGAATGTGCAGCCAGGATGAGAACTGCTGCTCTTAAATCTTCACTGGGTTAAAAAAAAAATTGTGCTACAGACACTTAAATAGGATCCTCTTCTGGTGAGTGAGCTGGCTTTGAACCTAGTCTTTTCCGTGTGTCTCTTTAATCAGCTACAGCCTATGTTCTTGGCCCATAGTTCTTCATTTGTGTGTAAGTGGTGGGAACTAAGAAGACATCTTTTTTAAAAAGTTGCCTCCTGTGTAAAACTTATACTCTGAAACTTATACTCTGAAAACTATAGAACATTGTTGAAATATAAAGAAGGTCTAAATAAATGGAAATACATCCCATGTTCATGGATTGGACAACTTAATATTCTTAATATTAAGACAGTAATGCTCCCCAAAGTGATCTGTAGGTTCAACCCAGTCCTTATCAAAATTGCAGCTGGCTTTTTGCAGCAGTTGACAAGTTGATCCTAAAAGTCATATAAAATTCAAGGGACCAGAATAGCCAAAAACAAAGTAAAGAATGAAGTTGGAGAACTCACACTCCATTCAAAACTTACTACAAACTTACAGTAATCAAGACAGTGTGGCACTGGCATAAGGATAGATATATAGAATCAGTGGAATAGAATTGAGAGTCCAGTAAGAAACCCTCATATTTATGGTCAAGTGATTTTTGAAAAGAGTGCCAAGACAATTCAATAGGGAAATACGGTCTTTTCAAGAATGGTGCTGGATAGCCACAAGCAAAGGAATGAAGTTGGACCCCTTTGTCACATTACACAGAAAAAGTAACCCAAAATGGATCATAGACCTAAATGTAAGAGCTGAAATTATATAATTCTTAAAGTATAGGAGTAAATCTTTGTAACTTTTTTTGTAGCTTTTTTTTTTCTGAGACAGAGTGTAGCTAGGACTACAGGTTCGTGCCACCACACCTGGCTAATTTTTTTTGTTTTATGTAGAGATGGGGTCTCACTATGTTGTCCAGGCTGGTCTTGAACTCCTGGCTTTAAGCGATCCTCCTGCCCCTGTCTCCTATAGTGCTAGGATTACAGGTGTGAGCCACCATGCCTGGCCAAAGCTTTCTTAGATA